CTCAATTTCTGAGAAACAAAAACCCACAAAACAAGTGTCCTGGTATGTGGGCCACTTCCTTCCCTTTTAATAATTTATTTTTATTTGTTCAATGAATTTACAAGCAGCCTTAGTTTCGCCTTAGTCATCCCACAGTGGAGAATAAAATGGAATAAAAACAATACAGGTAAGTCCTTAACTTATGACAACAACAGAGACCAACATTTCCATTGTTAAACAAGATAGTTCTGATGTGAATTTTGCCCCATTCCACCAACTTTCCTGCCACAGTTGTTAAGTGAGTCACTAAGGTTGTTAAGTTAGCAACATGGATGTTAAGTGGGTCTGGCTTCCCCATTGACTTTGCTTATTGAGAAAGTCATAAAAGATGACTCTGGGATACTGAAACCATCACAAATACATGCCAATTGCCAAGTGGCTGAATTTTGATCATGTGACCATGGGAATGCTGCAATGGTCATAAGTGTGAAAATGATCATAAATCACTTTTTTTTCGTAAGTGCTATTTTAACTTTGATTTCACCAAATGAATAGTTGTAAGTCAAGGACTATTTGTACATGTCAAATACCAAGCAGATTATATAATAGTAACTGCTCAGAAGTAGCACCTTTTATAGGTACTGGAGAAGCAGAAGGCAATAACTAAACTAACTACAGAATAAGCTGAAGGGAGCCATTTGGATCAATGATAACCAATCTCAGCAACTTCAATATGTGTGGACTCCAACTCCCAGAATTCCCAAGTACAAAAATCTAACACCCTATACAGTCAGGCAACCAAATTAAAACAACTTGAAAATAGTTTGTACAGCCTAGCACCACCTCTCTGGACAACTAGTTTCATTAACTGTTTCTTAAGCAATGAACTTTGCACTGACTAATGGGAATGTGGGATAAAACAGGAGTTAGACCAGGGGTGAAATGCTACCGGTTCAGTCCTTCAGAAGGTCTGAACCACTTTATAATGTAAGGCCACACTTGGAATACTCTAGACTCTAGAAAGAGTGCAGAGAAGAACAACAAAGATGATTAGGAGACTAGAGGCTAAAACATATGAAGAACAGTTCCTGCAACCGTTCTTCGTATGTTTTAGCCTCTAGTCCCCTAGTCATCTTTGTTGTTCTTCTCTGCACTCTTTCTAGAGTCTCCACATCTTTTTTACATAGTGGCGACCAAAACTGAATGCAATATTCCAAGTGTGGCCTTACATTATAAAGTGGTATTAACGAATAATCCTATCCTTTCTATAGCAATTTCACCACAGAATCTAAAGTATGAGGCGATATGCAAGTTTACTGATAACATAGACACTTAGATAAAGCAGACATGCTTTTGGGGCTATTGATTTTAAGGAACACATAATTATTCACATTTAGAATCATTCAATTATTCCCAATCTCATTAGGTACAATTCTGATCATCCCCAATCCTTGGCTAGGTTAAAATATTTGCATTCTGATTAGACCTGGAAATGGGTGTGAGAAGCACAACTCTTGCCCATTCTTGATTTATGTTATTCTTCTAAAAATGGCGGGGTAATGGATCTTTTTCTTGAGTTCTTATTGGGGAAGAGGAATGATGCGTCTATTTCTTACTCCTAGATTGCGCATGAACCCAATGACCCAGCTGTCAGTGCTGCATGCTGATCCTGCTGAGATGGAAGTACCAGAGAATGTGTCTATATCACAACTTTGGCACAGCTGTAGGTTAATAGACAACCAGGAGGAAGGCTGCATGCCGTGAAGATGAAATGGTGTGTTTCAGACCTAACGGGACTGTGGGATAAAACAGGAGTTGGGCTATCAGGAAGTCAATGGCACAAGGCAATACAACATGTTAGCAAAAAGATAGAAAAAAGCCACCCAGGGGGAAGACAGGAGAAACAGCCTAGGGCAGGTTTATATTCATTTTCTTTGCCAACCTGTCTAAGGTCAGCAAATATTGCAGACTAGGGAAGGAAACATGGATTGAGAACAAAGAAAATCAAAAACAGGAAGACCCGAATAAACTTCTTGATGGGTTTAACTAATACTATTTTTCCCATTTTACAAAAAAGCAATGGAAGGCCTAAAAATGTAATATTCCTATTACTATAACTTCCATCGTCACTAACAATATAGTCTCCATGGTCTATATTCTTGTTCTGTCCGTGTATTTGGAATGTGTAAGTGGTACATATTTGTTGAGATCAAATTAAAAAATATATAGAGTAGGATGATTTTTTTCTTATTATTTCAATCGGGAAGGCTAGAATAAATGCAATAAATAAATTAAAAATAAATAAGTGACAAATGAAGGAGTAAAAGGCAAGTAGAATGAATAAAAATGCAGTCTTCCTTCCTTCCTTCCTTCCTTCCTTCCTTCCTTCCTTCCTTCCTCCCTCCCTCCCTTTCCTTTCCTTTCCTTTCCTTTCTTTCTCCCTTCCTCCCTCTTTACTTCCTTTCCTTTCTTTCTCCCTCTCTCCTTCCCTGACCTGTGGTGGCACAGTGGTTGAAATGATGAATTCTATAGTGAAGTTGACACTCTCTGAGTAGACGTTTCATTACCTGACTAAATAACATCAGTGCCTGGGAGTGTGGAATTCATTCTCTGCTTCTATCATATAGAGCACAGTAGCTTGCCCTACCAGTGTTTGTGGGGGTGTGATTTCCTCCCTGATAGTTGATTGTTGATTGATTGAGGTATTGTTTCCTGCTTGATTATTTGCCCGGTATTAATTCCTGCTTATCTGGGTATTGGCTGCTGGAGAATGCATTCTGTCCTTTTCGTTTCCTTCTTAGCTTCTCATTGTCTCATTTTGAATGGTGTATAAATGTGGTTTCTCTCTACAGCTGGTCCATCTGAATGGTAAATGTCAAGAAATTCCTTAGTGGGTTTTGGATTCAGTTTGGTCTAGGATGCTCAATTCGCTAGTTTTGGATTCAGCTTGGTCTAGGATGCTCAATTCGCTAGTTGAAACTATGGTTGAGTCTGTTCATGTGTTTTGAGATTAAGAAGTTACAACACATGGTCAGACTGTCCAAAATACATGGACTGGACAGATGTCCAAGGAACAGAATGGACAGAATCACAAGAATCACAAGAATCACATGGATTGACTGTCCACAACACATGAACAGACTTGCAACACATGGATAGACTGTTCACAACCCAGGGACAAATTACAAATATGGACTGACTCATATTACTTTTTGTTTCTTTGTTAACTTTGTGGCTAATCTTGTATAAAAACATATGAAGGTTATGTACTTCTCTTGGAGAATGTAGAGCTCAGCCTAATAAGTGAATGGGGAAGAGACTTATGCAACACATCAAACTTTCTCAGGTCCATTATGTAAATTCTCAAAAGAAATGGGCCTCAGAAACCTGTGCCCTAGTTTCTTGAAACAATGTCATCTATATATTTCACCTCATGATTAAAAGTCTAGGGAGGAGCCTTGATTATCTGGAGGGATTTTAAATGGGTCATTGAAATACTGAGGTGGTACATTAACATATCCTAATTTACTGGATAATGCCTTTAAATCACTGCTTCACAAAAGGAAGGAACCGTTCTAAACTAAGAAAGCAAAACTTCCATTAACTAGCCACAGACAATTCAGAGGACTCATGAATGTAAAGCATATCTTCATAAAAGCAAATTACAAAGAAAATGGCTTGCCAAAGGAAAATATGCAAATGTGAGTTTTAAATGCTGTTAGTGAAATCTGCGTGGTAAAGCTGGCTTCACTCAGTGGAATGGGAAGAAAACCTGATTTCACATTGGGGCAAGGTCAAGGATATGAACTATATCCTAGAGGGCCCAAAATATTACTTTTAAAATCTTTAACTATACAAATCCAGGTGTTCCGTACGAATTTGCATAAGCTTTACTAACTATAAGAAGTAAGGCAATTGCTGTAATGGTAGCAAAACTCTGGATTTTCGGATTTTCCACTTGCTCTAATTCAATACAAAATGTTTCACCATCGTTATCTTGTTTAGTGTTAATTTTGGATAATAGTAATATAGATGCTCCTAACAAAAGATCTGAGACTTAATTTAAACCATACTTTTGAATCTGAATTAAGGACCTAGTTGATTAAACATACTTGTAGTTCATTCCAATTCTGAGAAACTAACTTGAAGGTGCAAGTAGCAAAATATATATTATTTTCTAGAGTCTGTTTCCCGGTTTCACAACTAATTTTACGTTATGTTCATATACTGTGCTAAAACAGAGTGTGGTTTATTTGACTTTTGGCTTTTGGCCAAGGGAAAGCAAATTAATACAATGTGTGAAGCCAGTCTATTATGGTTTATTCTTATTTATATAAGAACATATTTATATGGTAAACAAACCACAGGTTTGTTTACAATTGTAGGAAGTTAGCACCCACCTCTGTCCTAGAAAATGAAATATTTTAGGAAATATTAAAAGGGTAGAATATTTCCTCTTAAAAGGGAGACAGAAACACAACCCTCCATCTTTGTCAATGGACCATTAAGGCCTGAGCCAGCCTATTCTACATAACAAAGATCTACCTTATCTCATTGTCCTTCATTGCACCACCCACCAAGTTTCAACCAAACTTAGCACATAACCTACAAAGTGAGGTATGACCTCTAATAGCAACCAATCAGGCTACTCTTCCTGTGTCCCAGGAAGTTCAAATCCCAGGAGAGGGCATAAATCCAGGGACTCTCAGCATCTCTGCCCTTTCCTGCTCAGGAACTCAAGCTCCTGTCCACCATTAAACCATCATTCGAAACAGCTTTCATGTTTCTAGTGTCTTTTCCCCCACTTGGAATTGAACCCAGATGGGCATTTTTTCCAACACCATATAGGGGTGAATCAAGCCTATGGCTACCCCAATCCACTGAAAGAAGTCAAGTTGCATTATATTCATAAGAGATGCCTACTTACAGAACAAAAATGTTGACAGAAGACAGAAGTGGCTATCCACGTATCTATAAAGATAGAAAAATGGAGAACAAAACTAGAGAAATACAGGTCTTACAGTCAGATGTGATTTCATAGGGGGAATTGAGGCGTGCATCTCCACAAGGTGATGTGCTCACGTATAAATGGAACAGAATGTTCTCTTTTAGCCTGTAGCCTCCCTCTTTTAACCGCACAAAGATTGATCGCTCGCTGTCTTCTTGTTGTCTGCTAGGATCACAAAGAAAGGTTGCAGGTTATTTTTTACATTCCAAATCAGAACTAATTCTTTTCTCCCTATGGGTTAGCTTTCAGACTCTTTGTTATATTCTCTTTATGATATCTCATAAAAGTTCTCTCTAGCAGATGCTTTTAATGAACTCCACAATATCACAGGGATTACAAATCTTTAGCAATCAAACTGCTAAACAAGTCAACAAACAAAAGGGATAAGAAATAGCAGAAAAATTGTCATTATTAATTCAAACAGTCATAATCACTTATGCGCCATAACATGCCTTTTAAAAGACAAATAATGCAAAATGTAAATGTTGAATGGGCTTCAACATTCTATTGCAACAGTTAAATCTAACACAACCATCACTGTTTGCCACTGATTTCAGCTTTAATATAATCTATAGAAGCATTACATACTGGCCACTGTTGTTTTACAAATTCAAGGAGAAAGTTGGTTCAAAGAGATGAGTGGCAATATAGTTCTGTTCCTTATTAACAATTAAAAATACTTAAGTAGTGGATGTAGATAACCTAACATTTCTCCTTTTCTGTTTCTTTAAAGATAAGTATGATAAGATAACTGATAACTATTATTTTTATGAACAGAATGGTAATAACAGCAATGTTCAAATGTCATAATGAATGACAACAGATTCCCATGATACTAACAAACACACCTAGACTTCAAATACACATCAGAATGATGTCATTAGAATAGCAACACTTGCCATGTGGGTCATCACTTGCCCCCTTGCCTATCTCCTTGATGCCTATAGACACATACATTCTATAGTTGGGGTAGGTGATAGGTTTGTAGGTTTATCAAATCAGCCAATCTCTTGGGTTGAGTTTTCCATTTCTTGCCGTCAGTCTCTTGTTACAGTTTTTTTTATAAAGAAAATATTACAAGCACAGTACTTAAATGGAACTGAGCAGGATATCTAGTACACCAGGGAAAAACAGTATTTGACAAAAAAGAGAACACTGTATATGTTTGATACAGGACGATGAGCTAAAGCATTGTACAAATGTTCTCAAATCAATTAAAAAGACATTAAAAAAACCATCAGTCCTTTCTATTTCTTCGTTCTGGGTCCAGAATCTGCATCAACTTTTAAGTTATTACTAAACTATACATTCATTGTGATTAGAAGTAGAAGACCATTATAAGAGCCATCCTGAATTATGTACTTTTCCCATACACTTATCCTGTGGAATTGAGCAGGTTTCAATTACACAATTTTGAATGTTTAACTTAGCTTTCTTGGGATGGTGTAAGTTCTGATTAAACTTACTGATGATATTAATAACTTTCTAATTGTATTAGGAAAGGCAGTGAGGAAAATGCAGAAGCCTAAAGGTGGCGCAGTGGTTAAATGCAGCACTGCAGGCTACTGCTAGATCAGCAGTTCAGCGGTTCAAATCTCACCGGCTCAGGGTTGACTCAGCCTTCCATCCTTCCGAGGTGGGTAAAATGAGGACCCAGATTGTTGGGGGCAATATGCTGACTCTCTGTAAACCGCTTAGAGAGGCCTGAAAGCCCTATGAAGCGGTATATAAGTCTACTGCTATTGCTATTGCTATTGCTATAAATCCTACCTGATTTAGTCTCAACTACAAATCTAAGATCTATGTAACAAACCATGATGGCTCGACTGCTCAGATTGTTTTTCTTTTGTTTTTCTTTTGGTGTTTCTGAGGTTGCCAATGATATATAACTGCCTCATGTCAGTTTGGAACTGGGTTTGCTTCAACCAGCAGCAGCTCTTTGAATTCTGTGTATACTGTAAACACCTGGAATTGGAGATGCCAGATGTTTCCTTTGTGTGGTTTCATGGCTTTGAAGAAATATGGAATACAACCAAAAAGAATGTAGACCAAAATTTGATTAGTTCTCTTCTTAGTAATCCTCCAATACATATAAAAGGGCCTGGTGTATGGAAGGGAGCAAGGGTTAAAAAATCAAGAAGGTAGCCAGGACTTCCAAATACCCTCTAATGATGATTTGTCTATGGAGATTCTCAGTCATCTAGGTCATGGTTGTCCCAAAGGTGCATTTTCAAGAGGCAACTGGACTTTCTGTTTTTTTCTTTGAAGATGTTTTGCTTCTCATCCAAACAGCTCCTTCAGCTCTGGATAGGTGCTATTTCCCACCATCTACTCAGAGCTGAAAAAGCTACTTGGATGAGAAGCAAAACATCTTCAAAGAAAAACCAGAAAGTCCAGTTGCCTCTTGAAAAAGCATATTTGAGACAATATGATGGTTTATTTATCAAAACAAATTAGAGACTTGAAGTTTTCTCATGTGTTGTTGGTAGAACTATACAAAGCCCAAGACAAATGTGTAGAAATATGTTCTTATACTCTCTCCTCAAATCATGCCTTTACTTTTCTCTGGTAAATTTCTCACACCTGTGCTAAGTATTTTCCATAGGATAGCTATAGTACCTGCTGGCTCTGAAAGTAGCTAAAATATTTTTCTTCTTCCACAAGGCCGGTCAAGAATCTCAGCAACATCTTGCATTGCATTTTTGACCAGCTTGTCTTTGAGTTGAAAGCCTACCTCCTTCTTCTAAGTGTATAAAGTCTGCATGTGGTTAAAACCATTGGGCTGTCACTCTTCCATGGCTTGTTTGTTTTTATGCAATGATGCATTTTCTGTTGAGGGAAATTTATGGTCACGTTTCCACCCACCCCCTAACTATAACATTGAGGCTCTTGAGAGAAGGTAGATACATTCAGTTGCCCCATTTCCCTACTTTTCTTCCTGAAACCTCCCATCCATTTAATTTGCATTATCACCAAACCTTTAAAACAAAAACCCACATGAAGATCTTGCCTCTCTAAAGCAAGCATACTCATTTTGAAATAATGACCTACGTAGAGGTAGCCCATGACCTACGACCACAATGGAGGCTGAAATTTATGTTGCTAAGTGAAACATTTGTTAAGTGAGTTTTGCCCCAGTTTACAAACTTTCTTGCCACAGTTGTTAAGTGAATCCCTGTGGTTGATAAGTTAGTAGCCTGGATGTTAAATTAATCTGGTTTTCTCAGTGATTTTGCTTGTCAAAAGGTCACAAAAGTTGATCACACAATTTTGGGACACAGCAAGGGTCATAAATATGAGCCAGTTGCCAAGCATTTGAATTTTGATGACGTGTGTCAACTTTGAACTGAACTTGGCAGAAGCCATTTTACTGTTCCTCAGTTGCCACACAGAAGGGGAAGAGGGGAGACATAACAAAGAACTTACTCATGGAAACCAAGATCATCTTCACAGGGAATGGATAAGGTCGGGGAAGGAGTATCTGTAGAGCCCATTTATTCATCCAATTGGCCAATGTGACCTTTGACACTTGAGGATTGGTTTATTTCTTCTTTTAATTATACTGAAACCATGGGAATTATTTAGAGTTGGTTTTCCTTTAATCCGTGCTGATATGATGTACTCAGTAAAGAAGTTCTTTGAGGTGGATTTGAGGTAGTTCTAAGTTGTCCATGCCCAATATTTCAAGCCTGGTGGTAGAAGGCACTCTGTTGTGAGCAGAGGAGTGGAAGACTCTTCTAGTGAAATACCTCTGGACTTGCTCAATTGTATTAATGTCCAATATACAGTGTGGATTCCAAACAGATGAGCTGTATTCGAGAATTGGTCTAGCAAATGTTTTTTATGCCCTAGTTTGCAGTACAATATTACTGGAGAAAAAGCTTTGCAAGATTAGATTAACAACTCTTATTGCCATTTTGGCAATGTTGTTACAGTGAGCTCTGGCACTTAGATCATTAGAAATTAGTACACCCAGGCCCTTGACAGAACGAGGGTCATCCATGAAGTCATATCCACCCAGCTTGTATTTGGTGTTCTGATTTTTTTTGATAATGTGTAAGACAATTGCATTGTTGGTTGAGATTTCGAGTTGCCAATTTTTGACCATTCTGACACATAGTCAAGGGCTCTACCAATTAGCTTTTTGCTGTCACCTCCTCGAATTCTAGGAATGGGGAGGGAAAGGAAGAGGAAGGGAAGGACCAAATATCACAGAGGGGAGGAAATGAAAGAGAAGGAATCCCAGACAAGAGCGGATGTGATTTCTTCCTCTATTCCATCTTCCTTCCAGACATGTAATTGCATAATTTGCCATGAGATATGGAGAAGATAAGATGTTTCAACAATAATTGCTTGGAAGACTATTCTTTACTAAGAATAAGGTACATTGGACAAATCCTAGAATAAATGCATTGTGAATAAGATTAATCTTTCACTCTGCAATACTTTGACTTTTGTATTTCAGGATGAATTATAATTCTCTTTCTTGGTGTGTGTGTGTGTGTGTGTGTGTGTGTGTGTGTGTGTGAATATGTGTGTATCTGGGTCAGCACAGGAAGAGCTTTGGCTCCTGGCTAAACAGAGAGAGTCATCTGGATGAGTTGTTGTGAGCAGAATTTTCTGCTGTTGGGAGAATTCCACCACAAAGCAACATAGCATTGATCCAAATAACATAATAACATAACTGAATGTGCTATGAAACTGGATCAATACAGAAGCATAAGAAACAATGATTACAGTTTTATCCTTAGAGGCATGAATGCCATGCTTAACACAAAGCAAGCAGAGGGACTGCTAAATGAAGAAAATAATTTAACATAAGCCCAAGATGGGGTGGAGGAGGGCTGGGCTTAGTGGGGTTCACAGGTTATGTAAACAAAACAGTGGAATGTGTAGATTGGCTTTGTTCCATGTTTGTCTCATTGTACTTTTGAGATATGCTTATCACCTCTTTTATTGCCATGTGAATTTCCAGTGTATTTATATCCAGTGTTATCAGACAAACATCTGGTTTTAAAATCCCTTTTAAAAAAAGCAACGCCAAATGTAACCTTAAGCGGTGCCACCCTGAAGACATTTCTATCTGATAGGGCATTTTAAATGCTTTCATTGCCATTTCTTTCTTAGGTTTGCTGACTCTCCATAGGCTGCTTTTATTGAACTGT